TAGGCTGCATTGCATCACAATCGATCTCGATATCTACACATCTGTAGATAATCCAAGTATGACATGTAAGTATCTTCTCTCAAACCATGCCATATAAACTTACAAATGGCCTGTGGTGTGATTCCTCGATTTGTGAGACGCCCAAGTCATGTCAACCACACACGCAGAGGGGGAGGGCCCCACACCCAACCACACCCACAGCACCCACAAGGGGAGGGGTGTCCACCCCAACCCCCCAACCACCCAACCATAGAGAAGGGGAAGCATGGGGGGTAGGGCCAGCAAGCGCGTGACCATGTATCATCTCAGTTCCCCTTCAATTTTCCATGTTCTGTTACATTTGATTCTACAAGCCATTGGGGGGGTAATCCTAAGCCCATACGGCCTAGATGGTAGTTTCCATCTTCATGACCCCTACGTACCCCTAAACCCTAAAACCCTAAACCCCTAAATAACACCTGAATAACCACCAAAATAACCCCTAAACACTAAAACCCTAAATCCCTCCACCGTATATAACCCCTTTACCAGACCAGCTCATGCGGGAGAGTAGCCACCCAGATCCGAGTCGCCTTAGCCGAGCTTTCACTTCCTGCTTCTTAGTAGGATATAAGGGAGTATACAGGCTTTAGGGTTTAGGGTCAGGGAATATATTTGGGTTCTATAGGGATGATGGAAGAGAAAAAGGAAACTACTACATTCTCATAGGCTATATATAGGGGTTCTTGTAGGGAATAAGGGAATATATTATGTGGACATTATCTTGCGATGTTTTCCCCTATTCCCCACTAAGAACGAATAAGTTCAGAAGCCCACATGTTGGAGACACGGGGGATGGGGCTGAAGGGATGTAGGGCTTAAGGGATATAGGGCTTGAGGGATACATTGCTCACGGGATGTAACGCTTGGGGGATTACATTGCTTGAGGGATTTTGGGCTTGAGGGATGTAGGGCTTGAGGGATTACAATGCTTGAGGGATATAGGGCTTGAGGGACACATTGCTTGAGGGATGTATAGGGCTTGAAGGATACATTCCTTAAGAGACATAGCGCGTAGGGCCGCATTCGAGGTTTAGGTGCGGGGCTCGGAGGCTTGGCAGAGAGGAGCAGAGTGGCTATCAGGCTTGGACTGCTGTGTTGATGTGCAACCAGTCACCCGTTGTTTTTACGAGCACCTAATTTCCGAAAGGTTCCCTGTATCGTTGGGGCATGCAAGAGCACCATCGACTGAAGGTGTAGCCTTTCGGATCTAGTTTGGAATGATTCCCGCAAGCCTCTGCCGTAAATATACCTGCCCGGCTGTACCTACCCAAGGATGACTGCATTTTTTCGAATACATGGTCCCCTGAAAATGGCCCTGCCGTGATACGAGCCTTAACTATCGCAAGGAAGACCGCCAGAGGAACATCGCATCACGAAAGCCCAATCAGTGAGACAGGTAGCTCTCATCGGATGCATCCATTGCTATTGCCGCGCCGGAAGGCCCGCAGCCATCTATGGACACCTACGCTTGGGTCCTCATCAGCTGCAATACGAGCAGCCCTTATGCAGAATACCTCGATAGGGCTTTTGAAGCATGAGCATGAGGATTCAAGCTTTTGAGGTTCCGTATCGTTTGCCAGACCGCGTTGAATACGCTGTACTTCAGAATTCTTACGAAGCACGCTGGGAACTAGTTCATCCTTCGTTCGTTGTTCGAATGGTCCCCTTATTAGGGCTGGTGTTGCAATAAAGTTGGGGACAACAACTTCGAGCAAGATGCAACTTATCCCGGAACAGTCTCCCTTCACGCATCCTTGGTCCCATTAAGCCTAAGACCCTGAGCCCTTAAGCTCCATAGACTTGAAACTCCTGCAACTACGTACCCAGCATAACAATACTTTAAGCAAACTCCCACATGCCGTCCCTGAATAAATGAAAACTTCCAGAGCTCACGAATCCATGTGGAACTAGTACCAATGTTAGCTCTTGCCCCCCTTCTTGCATGGGCCAGATAATCACGCAGCTTCAAACACCAAGCCTAAATACCCATGTCACTCCACCTTCCTCAACCCCCATAAACGCTCCCTAAAGTAAACGGCAAGCTATAACCGCGCATCCGTAACTCCTGGGCAAGCAAGGCGCAAACACCCTTTTCCTACGGTGAAACGGTGTCGCAGAGCATCTCTGCCATCAAAGCAGAAGCCTGAATAATTAAAACCTTATTGTGAGCCTTACCATCTGGTCCTTTCTGGTCTAGGCTTGGGACTTGGGCTTGGAGGTTTAAAACAAATCAGGATCCCGATGGTCTGCACCCTGAAAAAAAGCGCTTCCTGCCTCTGAAGTACCCATATTTGGGTTGTACATGAGCCATAGTCTAAACTCCTAGTATACCCCTAGAATAGTCCCCTATATAAGCACCTATATAACCCCCTTTTAGGAGTTTAGACTATAGCTCACATGGTTATACAGATCAAGAGGGCCCCGCTGCTACTCCTATACGGAGGAAAGTCAAGGCGTTCTCAAGACTCCCAGGAAGAAAGTCCCTCAAACTTGGAAGCTTCCGAATTCCAATTTCAAGCTGGTTTGAGGGCTGCATCTTCCCCAACAAGCATACTCTGCTTAATCCCTTCGTGATCTGGGGCATAGAAACCCTTGGAAAAAGGCTTCTACCCGGGACGGCATGCAAGTCGGCACATGGTGTAGGGCTTACGGTTAGAAGTTGTATGAAACTACCCAGAATTCAGGTTTCTCGATCAGGCGAACGACTCAAAGAACATTCGCACAAGCGGCTCACCCTTGTGGAGAAAAGTTAAAGTCACACAACTTCTGGTTTCGTTGCTGAGCGCCTAGGGACTTGTCAAGCCCCAATGTGGCCAGGATATTTGCATGGAACTTGCATCAAATGCTTTAACTTATCTAAAATGCCCATATTCAGAGCCATGAAAAAACAGAGAACCTTTGTGCAGAATCATCCTAGTTGTGGCGGGCATGGTGTCCCAGCTCATCTCAGGTTTGGTATGCTGGGCAGAGGTTAAACACAACACGCTACAACACGTGAAGCCGACTCCAACCCAATCTCCAGCAAAAATGAGTGAACTTTACAGCTGCTTGTGTACAGCTGCAGCTACCTTTCTGGCCGGCTGTGGTATGCCCACTTGTGGCATGCCCTGCCCAATTGGCAGCCAGCTGCTACGAAAAGAGACCCAGGGTTTGGGATGTGGTGCTTGCTGTAAAGAACTTAAGATTAATAGTTCCAACGCTTTCTAGTCAGCACTTCATCGCAAGATTCGCTCACGGCCTTATTGCCGTGCAGAGGGCCTCGAAAACTACTGACATGAGCGCCGCCGACTGAGGTGGCTTCTTGTATGAGAAAGGGGTCCAAGCCAGTATTTCGAATAATAATAAGAATTGCAATAATAAAAAAAGAGTAACAATAACAATAGTAACAGTACCTGATATAGCAGTATAGCGAGGTGCCCGAGCACCCTGATTAAAGAGGTTTAAGAAATGCACTTGGCAAACCGTCCCCTCGAAGCCTGTATGCAATTGCTCAGACGTCACTTTACTGGCAAAGGTGTATTACTTATGGGGTTCCCTACTTCCCCGCCCTGGACGAGCCCCACAGAATTCCCCCTTAACCAGGGTATTCAAGGATAACTGGGGGCAATTTCGGGTGGACCAAGGGGGAAGCATACGAACCATTGTCTAAACTCCTAGTATGCCCCTTAATAAGCCCTATAGTAGTCCCATATATAATCCCCTCTATAACCCCCTTCAAGGAGTTTAGACCCTAAACTCCATAGACCCTATACCCTAAATATCCCTATATTACCTTATATAATCCCTATATAACCCTATATAATCCCCTATAGAAGCCCCTTTAAGGAGTTTAGACTATGGCTTATATGGGCGGGCCTGAAAACGGAGTCCTAAGCCTCACCTGAACCCTGAAAGTATGTAAAATAATGGCCTGTAGGGCTGTGATTCTGGGTTTAGGGCTATTATTTTACGTACTTTTGGGGGTTTAGGTAATCAGGAACTTGTACTTTTCATCCAACAAATGCCCATAAATGTTTCGTCACACTCCTCACAGCAAACCAGGCCCTTCCCCCAAGCCCTGAGCCCTCTAAACTGCTCCTCACTCCGTTATGAGCTATAATCTAAATTCTGAGTATCCCCCTCAATAAGCCCCATAATAGGAACCCTATAGGGTTCCCCTATATAACCCCCTTGAAGGAGTTTAGAGTAGAGCCGAGCTCATAATGGGGGGATATGGGCGGTCTGCCTAGCTGATCTGAGAGCTTGTGCGAGCCCTCATCCCTATAAATTAGGTTGACCCATTCACAGTCCATAATAGGGGTCATATCAAGGGCCCCCACCTCAACAGCAGGTAAGAATGTGGCCCAAAATCCCCTTAAAAGGCCACTAGATACTTCTGGGGGTCAGGTCGCTATTACCCATAAAGTAGGTTGGGCCCCCACCCACTAATAGTGCCACAAGAGATAACAGCAATCTTGTTGGGCCCTCTATATTTTCCTAACATACCACTATTGGTGGGTGGGGGCTTAACCCAACCTATAGACCCCAAGCAGTGGTTGCATGCTTATACCACTTCAACATCAAGATCCAGCTCAGAAGGACGAAGAGCGGTCAGAAGTTTACTTTTCTGGCGGCAGGGCAATATGCTTGCTGAAATCTATGCTCAACTGTGCGTGGGGGGGTAAGAATGCGCTCCTTGCAACCTCAGACGCGAATTATCTAGAAGGTGAGACGCCATGGCCCCCCGAAATTGCAAAAAACTATGTCCTCTGAGATGCTTCAGTTGCTCGCTTCTAGCCTAAAGTACCGATGATATGAATGCCAATGATGATCATCCTTCTCACTACCATCCTTGCTTTCGTCGCTGCATGTGAATGTAAGGACCAGCAACACTACGAGAAAGGAACCTTGTCATGACGATGGGCGTTGTGAGGCTGAGAAGTGTTTCGCAGATGTCTGGGCCAAAGGCCGTGATCTATTCAGCTGTTATCGTCAGAATAGAGGTCGGTCTCTCGGTAGGCATGGCCGATGGTCTGCGGTTTCTTGGACGACCTCAGTTCAAGCATTGCAACCCAGCAAGATGGGCCATGTGGCCACTGTAAACATAAACAAACAACAAATGGAAGTCCGAACCAGTGAGCTTAGGATGGAAGTAGGATTCATAATGTGAACTACCTAAACCCCAAAAGTAGGTAAAACAATAGCCCAAAATACCAAAATATAGCCCAAAGGGCCATTATTCTACATACTTTTGGGGTTCAGGTATAGACTCCTAGAATAGCTGCACAAGCGCGAGTCCGAGTCATCCTAGATCTTACACTACAGGGTACCCACCGGTAAAACAAGCCCATACATCGAAGCAAGCATTATTTCACAGCCCTACAATTGGGCTATATTGGAAGGGTGTCTTTTTTTTCCTCGCAGGCTCCTAGAGTGTCTTATCCGTTCGATTGGGGCCGCCTAAGACAACTATCTCTGACCATAAGCCTGGCTCGTGCCAAACCTACACGCTCAACCCTAAACCCGAAAAACGCTGGATAACACATAACCTCTCTATATAGCCCTTACATAATCCCTAGATAATCCACAGTATGTAATCCCTATATAACCCGTTTTAAACTAAAGCCACCCAAGGCTTTCCTGAAACCTTCGTCCGAGTCGCGCTTTCATGGGCGAGTCCGGAGATTTTGATTTCGATGAGCTTTGTGATGTCCTTGTTTGTTGGGGTTTACGGTTCAGGGTTTTGGGCTTAGGGCCTAGGGTTCAGTTTCTCGGCACTCGTGTCTAAAACCAGCACCTAACCCTAAGGGCTCGAGGACCCAAATAATTAGCCTTTAGGTCCCATACCATTCAGATTATAGCATCTGGGGTTTGAGTCCTTGGATCCTTGGGAAATCCAAGCCCCACTCCCCTTTGTATATCAAGTACTCCCCCGTTATTTGAATCCTTGGACCCTTTAGGGTAATGATTAGCCACATGGACCCTCCGGGGGTTGGGGTTCAGGGTTTGGGGTGTAGGGTTTGGGGCTTAGGGTTCAGGGTTTAGGGTTCAGGGTTCTTGGTTTAGCTCTCTGGGTTCAGGGTTTGGGGTGCAGGTTTAGGGTTTTGGGTTCAGGGTTTTTGGTTTAGCTCTCTGTAGGTTACGGGACCCCCTGGCCTGGCTTGGTAGGCAAACATCTACGACCGATCCTGATTACGCCCCAATGACTTACTGGGGGTTAGTAGGGAATAAGGGAATGTATTATATGCGGATTATGTAGGGATCATATTCCCTTACTGTCGTCTAACCACCAGTAAGATGACGGGCAGCACGGCATGTTGTGAGTTAGGGTCTGCCACGCATGCCCTTCGGGTGCAGGCCTCACGAAAACATTCACGGGGAAGACTGTCGGGGCCTGAATAGAAAGCAACCTAGGAATGTAGGACCATAATATAGATCAATAAATGCTCAGGCCCCAACATTGCATCAGCTGTCCGGAAACCAGCTCAAAAAGTAAAGACCTGCCAAGCTGGTAGGTTCCAGCAAAACAGGGGCCTGAAAAGGAAACAGCGCTAAAATATGCTAGAATCTCAAGTATCCTAAATCTAAGAACCCTAACCCTAAACCCCTAAACCCAACACCCAAAACCCTAAACCCAAACCCTGAAGGCATAACTTAAGCAGATGCTCAGGGAACTCCCTTCAAAGGAGCCCTCCGCTGTCTCTGGAGATTCATCTACGAACCTGGGCTCGTTGACTGATTAGGATTTAGGGAAATGGGGGGGGTATTCTTAGGCCACTTTTAGGGGGGGGATTGAAGGGATGGATAGGGTATAGGGTTTATTTAGGTTCAGGGTTATATGATTCAATGCTTGGAGCCTCGGGGCTGAGGTTTAGGATGCTGGTGCCAGATTTGTGGCTTAGAGGCTTAGGGTACGGACCTCTTGAAGTGGAAACCTGTTATGTGGCTTCAGATTGTGAAGGAAAGGCAAGATGTTAGGGGGTGTAATGGGTCAGACCGCAACTTAATTTAAAGGAAAATGTGTAGCCTAAAACCATAAACCCTAAATCCTAATCCAAATGGACGTTTGGGGATGGAGGCTAGGCTTGGGAGCACGTAACCGTCATCAGCTGGTGTGCAATTGTTTATAGCATGCGTATCTACACATGTTGCTTGAAAACTTGTGGCCTGCATGGGCACGCATCTTGCAACCTGAATCCTGGAAACTCAGTGGTGATGAGACAAACGCTGGAAGGGTTTCAACACATAGCGACATTGGGAGCATGGCCCGCGGGATGCGGAGCTTAGGATCCCTCCTCGGAATGAGAGGCCCTCCTTCCGATGCTGAAGTAGGGACATACAGGCTTGACACTGTCTACATAGGCCGAAATCAATGAGTACTCCCTGGTTGATGCAAATGCTTGGAAAGGTAAACCTCAGATGCAATAAATGGCGAGAGTGCAATCATTCAGGCTCCCATGATAGGCTTCTTGGGGTCCAGGCTGTAAACGGAACCAACATCAGCTACAGGGGGACCCGGTGATGACGGTTACAAAATTCCTGGACTTCCAATAAGCCCCTCCATGGCCGCTCTCTGGCCCGAAAAACATCCTGAGAATCCTGTTGATACTAGAATATACCTGTGATTCCTTGATGTGCTTCTACGGAAGTTGGATTCAATTACCATAATATGGGTATGTAGTCGATAATCGGTTATCCTTAGTATAGACAGCAAACCCGATTAGACACAACATAACTCCCAAAGTGTAAGCTACTTAGATTCATGCAGGTTTAGAGTTTGGGGTTTGCGGTTTAGGGTTTGGGGTGTAGGGCTTAGGGACCTTCTCACCTGTATCTGGCCAGTCCGCAGCTCATTTATCAGAGCTTCTAGGGCTGTCCCCACAAAAAGTGTCCGCAATTACGGCCCCAATAGAAACCTAGGGATCCAAGTATACGAATACTACCTACTTTGGGCGTTCATGTCTAAACATATTACCTATATGAATATATTACGTAAATTGGGGCTATTTGGATCCCTATACATCCCCGTAAACCTCTGGTTTCCATTTCATGTTCCATGTGCTTTTCGAGTTGATTCTCCATTATTAGGGTAATACATTGGGCTATTTGGATCCCTTAGCCATAAACCCTAATTCTAGGGAACCTTGCGCCAAGAAGCTTCAGGGCTTCCCGCGATGGTACCTCTGGCAGTGACGACTTGGAGGAGAGATCATCACCAGGAATGGTCTTGGTCATCAGGACCTGGGTATGCATGTAGGGTTTTATGGTTTAGGGTTTAGGGTGAATAGGTACATAAGGACCTGAATATGCACGCATGGCTTACGGTTCAGGGTTTAGGGTGAATAGATACGAGGGGACTTTGGGAAGACTAACTATTTAGATTAGGAACCTACTATGCATGGAAGAGGGGTTTTTGGCAACACCAGCCACCCAAATTAGGAACCCATTATACCCATACGATGGTCATAGGGTCCCCAATCCTCTCAATACTGAAGACTTGAAGGTTAATGGGAATATGAGGAGTATAGAAGGTTTTTTGGGGGGATGGCAACTAGGCATGCCAAGGTCGTGGCGATGGACTCTAGCGCTTCAGCGAGTGAGAGTGAGATTCACGTAGGCCTTTGAATGGTTGCAAGGATTTCCGGATAGAAATGATATTGAGGACCAAAACAAAATCCTCCAGAAACCTGGGATCTCAGACACCCGACATGAACCACAAGGGCTTCCAGCCAGGCTGCGCAGAAAAGTCCGCAGGGCAACCAAAAGGCGATCCCCAGCATGAAGGAGTCCTCAAAGGAAGTTTCAGAACTCGATCGCTCAGGGCGAAAGAGTCCATAAACCCTAAAGGCTATTCCATTGCGATGAACTGGTCCTATGTACCAGTAGGACGGACTGCATGCCGTGAGCTGGTTTTGAGGTTCAATATTTCCTGCATTGAATCCCTTTAAAGCAGAATCTGTATATCCACGGTTTTCATGTGATGTTCCCTTTCTTCACCACTTGATTCTCCATCATTGTCAATCCCCAAGCCCCGCCCCTGAACCATCAATAGCACAGTAGCTTCAATCTTCTTTTCCATCCTATATCCTAATAATATGATATATCCAGATAGAACCCCATTTTGATGCTCATTACTTGTATATTTAACTATTACCATCACTTTTGCTAGTAGGGCGGTCATTGCTAGTATTAGTCAGGGGGGTTGGCATTTGAGGCTGGCCACCATCTATCTCTTCAAGGCTGCGGATACGACTGCAAGTTCTGGTGTTCCAGGTAAGGCTTTTTTGTTGTAAAGTTGCGGAAGTGTTGTTAAGGTTGAGGGTTAGTGTTTCAAGGTTTAGGATTTGATGTTGGCTTGGCATTAATGAGCCCCTCCCCCCTCCCCCCCGCCCCTCGATTGATCTACCTCCATCCGGGGGGCCTGGATAATTATCCTGAAGGTCTGGTTGAACAATCTTTTTAGAACAACAAGATGAAGTACAAATCAACGATGATGTTGTCTGGACATCTTTTGGGAACATTATTCTTGGCATAGCTATAATGTTCCAACGGATGGATTTTATGGTTAGTTGTGAGTATAGTCACTAAACTGAAGATAGCATTACTTGGACCCTAAAAGTAGGTGTCCCAAAACCCATAGAAGGCCGTTGTTCTACATACTTTGGCGGGTCCAGGTCAGGGTTTGGGTTTTAGCATCCTGCGTAGTGAGTTTTCCGCTTGAAGCTGAAACCTAAAGGCTTTACGCCATACTCCCCTCCTGGACCCGCCAAAATCTGTAGAATAATTGCCTGTTATGGGTTTATTACCATCCTTTTACCTACTGTTGGGGTCCAGGTAAGCCCTACTCCAGCCCCGAACCCGAACTCCCAACACTTAACCTTCAACGCTAAAGTCTATACACCCAAAACCTCCAATCCCCAGACGCTGTACCTCCTGAATGCTGTTTCACTACAACCCCCCTACCCTATATCATTTCCCTTATGCGCCATAGTCTAAACTCCTAGCTTCCACTGAAAAACCCTCTTGAAATCCCCTATATATTCCCCTATATAACCCCCTTTAAGGAGTTTAGACCCTAAACTCTAGACCCTATAGCCTAAATATCCCCATATTACCTCATAGAATCCCTATATAACCCGATAGAATCCCCTAAATAACTCCCTTTAAGTAGCCCATATGCTCCCAGGGGATCTGATTTCAAATCCCTAAACCCTAAACCCTAAACCCTAAACCGCGTAAGGTCTGCCCCTGACCCCTGGGGTGTCCCGTCGGCCAAGCCGTCGCACCCAACTGGAGACCAAGGCGGGGCCCAGGCCTTGCGTTTAGGGTTTAGAACTTAAGGGTGTAGGGAGTTTAGGGTTTAGGGGTTTAGGGTTTAGAACTTAAGGGGTTAGGGGTTTAGGGTTTAGGGTTTAGGTGTTGAGGGTCTGGGGTTGAAGTGTTTAAGGTGTAGGGTTGAAGGGTTTAGGGTTTAGGCCTCCGAGCGTGATTTTCGGTGCAAGCCTGTAAAGAAATGGGACATACATACACTGCTATACAAGGATATGTATGTGTATGTATCTATATATATATACATACATGTGCATTTATAGACATGTATGAATAGGTCTGCTGATATAAAAGCACATCGGCTGCGTCAGGAGTCGAAAGGGGTTTGTGTACGATAACTATACTGTGGGGTGCTTTTGTCGTCTGTACATCTGTACGTTGTATAGTGAGCACACCCCAGACCCTAAACACCGTTACTAGGCTCGGGGTCTAGGGAGTGCTCTCTAGGGGTCATGGACACAAGCTCTTTTGAAACTCAAAACCTTACGCCCTAAAACCTAATCTGGGTCTAGGGTTAGGTTTACATGTGCAAATTTCTCGAAAAGGAGGATCCTCAGGAGCCCCAGGGATACATGTGTATGTATATATATATATATCTATATATGTATAGGGATTACAAGGGGGGCGTAGGGATTTTTATAGAGGATGGAGAGGGGATATTTTGAGAAACTCCTATTTGGCAACTCCTAATTCCCAAAATCAAATCCCCGTGTAGCCATTAAACTCCTTGAGGGTCCATGTGTTGGCGTTTAGCGCCACCAAATACCTAGCCATTACCGGTCAAGCCCGACGCCCTCGGGGTTCACGGGAATGTATACAGGACTTGCGCAGACTTAGGATGTGAAAGCCCCGGGATCCACCAAAATGGATGACCTGGATAGTCCATCGTGTTGCCGGGTTGCTTTTTTGGCGGCGCCCTAAACCTTAAACCTTCGATCCTTTGGGTTTGAGGTCTGTAGCTTGTAGGCAGCAATCTCACCTTTTCCCGAGCACCCTGCCTTTTCCCAAGTCGTCCATAATGTTGTAGACCTTTCGGGAGAGCTTCATGGGCCTATGTAAAGTTTATATAAGGATTATACAGGGGTTATATGGGCATCAAGGGTTAAATGCTGCACTTGGCGCTGAAAGTGCATTTGTCAGAGAACCCGGCTACAAAATTGGAGGTTGCACGTGAAGCCTTCAATCCCATGCGGTCAGCATGCAGGTTTCAAGTCGCTCTCTCCTTTCAAACGCCTGACTTGCACGATGTTGGCCTCTCCAACTCGTCACCGTGTTAAGGCATAGGTTCTTTTGCTCTGAGATGCCTTTGAAGAGGACTGTCTACAACTCACTGGTGCCTGGGGAGGAGTGGGTGACTGTGTATACAAGCACCTTGGTGTATACCTACTAGGGGTTGTGCTAAAATCATGTTACTGGGGTCCCTTAGGCAGTAGAGACATGACTGTATATGAGGCCAGGTATGAGGCTGCGTGACTAGGCACATGGGATAGCCCTCACGTCATCGGTGTTCCTACACAGGGCCCTACGTAGGGCTCCGTGGGAGATCATGTCGCAATTATAGATGGACTCTGAATGATGTGCTTGCTAATCCGTCAGATTTCTACAGCATTCGTCAGAATGATGAGAACTTTAAGCCATGAAACAACGGTGTGTTGAAACACGGCAGACCCTTCTGAATGGATCTCTAGTCGCCATTGACCCCTTACAATAATGCATAGAAACCCAGCTCGCCGATTCTTTACTAACCCTTGTACTAATACCCTAAACCCTAAGGCCGAAGCCCTGAACCTTTAAACCCTATACCCCCCCCTTAAGTAGATAGAATATGGGGCATTTGGGGATCTTATTGTAATATACACAAAGCTATATTCTATCTACTTAAGGGGAACTATAAGTTGGGGAGGGGAAAGGGCCTGGACCATCCGAGACGGTTCCTTCAGGTTCATCAGAGGTTTCATGCCCAGATGTCTATGTAGATTGCCAGAAGGTATTTCTGATAGCCAATAGGTGATTGGGGATGTTTGGGGGGTTTGTTCCTTGAGTTCTTCTGTGCACTAGGATTCAAATTTAGGACTTCAGTTTTGAAGGTAAAAATTATATAAGGCCTGGAAGGGCCCATGGGTGTTTGAGCACGTTCAGCAAGAGCATGAGGCCCTGATCATCATCCTGTCTATACTACACATTGTACGTTTCATGAGACCATACAAGGTTTCAGAAATGCCTTGTATTCTGCCTAATTTGTGTAGCACGGGTGGCTTACTGGCGTACTGGATTTCACACATGCCCTCTTACTGTATCAATTCAAGGATCATGGCAGATTTGGCCTTATTCCGACTAACCACCTGTGAACACGCTCATGAAGTGCCAAAGCACGCCAAAGACTGTCCCACGAGACCGCGTCGCCACCGCGTTCAGAAGCACTGCCTTCGCATTGCTCCCCGCAATAGGCGCGAGGATGCCACCTGACAGGATATAGGCTTTCAATAATTAGGATGGTTTAGGGTTTAGGGTTTAGTTTTTGGGGGTTAAAGGCCCCAATAGTGGAGAATCACATGGACAAGGAAATGGAAAATTAAAAATGGAAACTGGGGCTAGAATGTGGATTACGGTTTCCCAAAAATGTGGAACCCTTTTGGGGGGTCCCCCACTTCGACTATCATCTCCCGTATATATTAAACAGACGCTGACGCATATACGGTTTTCTGTGGAGAATATCGAAGTTGAGCAGGTGGTGGGGCTGCTTCCTGGCGGGCTACGGGATTTGTTCTAGGTTTCAGGTGTAGGGTCTAGGATTCACAAGCATCCGCTTTACAAGGCACTGGTCTGTTGCCGCAGTGGATCCCCAGCCCCAAACTCAGAGTCCCTAGGCCCAGAAAGGAAAAGAACCCTAGGCCTCCCAATACTTGAGGGATTTCCAAAATCAGTGGTACCTGAAAAAGGGGTTATATGGGGGTTTCTGGGGATGTACAGGGTTTAGGGTTCAGGGTTTCCCACAATTAGGGGTACTGTTTCGGGGGTCCTAATAATAAGGATCACAGTACGTTGGAGTCTATATTGGGGTTCCCTATTTGGGGCAAGTACGATTGCCAAGTTCTTACGTTGAAGCATCAAACAGCTTGCGAAAGCAATTTCAAGCGGCCACTGCAAAAAATGAGCCCACTTTATGTTAACCTGAGCCATCAAATGAGAAGCATATATTATCCCGATCCCGTTCCGCCAGCTTTCTAGTATAGGTCGTTAGATGGCGAACCGTAATTTGAATTCCAATCCCGGAACTCAGAACCCTCAGTGGCCCTAAATCTCAAAGCCCTGAATCCCTGAAGCCTAAATTATAGCCTAAGTCCATGAACCCATAAACCCTATACAGCCGCACCTGTGAGCGCCAAGATGTAGAAGAGCACCGGATGTCCCCAGGTGCCAGCAGAAGAAAAAAGGAATAGGAACCTAAAAGCACAATATTGTGTGCTGATATCTAGGGGTCTTTTTTCGGCGAGGATAGATGGGTAGTTTAAAGCCTTGAACAAAAAGGGGTTGAGAGCTTTTGGAGGCTCAAATGTATAAATATGACGATACGGCGTTGGGAAGGATTTTCTGTGCAGCAGTTGCACCTCTGCGGTGTGTTGAGGGTGTGAAAAGTTGGGGCTCAGCCTACTGTCCAGGTTTGATTGAAACTAGGCTTGAAAGCACAGGATTGCAGGGACCAGTGGACCACGTTTGACAGTTACTTGGAACTTGCGCATCCGGCATTTTGGGGGGAAACAAATCACAGTCCAGCTGCCCCACCGGTAAAAGGTGCCGCAAGCCCCACCCCCGGGCGCAGGCTCATAGAATCCAGCAAGAAGCCCTAAAGAAACTAATCAAAAACCAAAAGATGATTCACCCAACGAGCTATAAGCCTAAACCCCAAAGCACTCAAATACGCCTTAGCTAAACCCCTTACAACGCTGAATCCCTTGCGAGTTTCGGAAGCATCCCGCCCCAGACGGTAAGCCCCATCAGCCAGGCTTGCAGCCTTTTGTCCCTTCCTTGGTTTAGGCTTGCGAGTTTAGGATTCTAGGGTTTAGGGTTTAGGGTTTAGGCAGGGTTTTAGGGCTTAGGTTGGGAACATGCGTTCCTACTATGGGCCCCCAGCGTTCTTAGGGTGGTTCTAGCGGCCATGAGGCTACATGTCGGGTAAAGAATAGATATACTGCAACCTTGCAACCAATCTTGACGCCACTTGAAAGACTTCTCGAAAACAACTGAGACCCGCAAAACAATACAATAAAAAACAAGTAAACCCCGCTAAAAAGGCTTGCTTTAAACACCCTCGACCCAAGCCCCAACACCTTTCCCTAAGGGTGCAAGTACTCAAAAAATTGGGTTTTAGTGCCAAAACACCATGAATAGCACAGGATTTGGGCCCTAAAACCCAAGTCTTTGGATCCCTTGGAGCCTTAGGGTTTACTTGATTTGGATCAGGGCTGCTGTACAAGTGCTGACCCAGCTTGCCGCCAATAGCGGTGCCAGTGACGCAGCCTCTCAGTTACTAGTACCATAACTATTCCACCCTAAACCCTAAACCCTATTCCTATTACTAATGCCATGTAGGGTTCCCTTCAAAGGGACCATGTCAGGACATTTGTACTATTATATAGGTAATATATTGGGGACTGTTATAGGGGTTATTTAAGGCGGATACTAGAATTTTAGACTACAGCTCATATAATCAGGACGTAAATAGGCAATATAGGTATAGGATGTAGAGACCCTGAAAAATGGAAGCTACCATGTCATGTAGGTCTATTGCCTAGGTGCCCAACTAACTTCAATAGTGGAGAACTCAGTGGAGAACCAAATGGAACAGAGCATGGACATTGAAAGGGATTTGTGCAAGGATTGCATGTAGGCGCCTACTCAATCAGAACAGGGTTTTGGAGAACTAGTCTGCTAGAGTTATATGAGGATTATAAAGTAAGCTTGTTTGGTATCCGTTCAGACTCCTACCCTGCACCCCAGACCCTTAACCACAATTGTGTTTAGGTTGCCAAAAGATGCCCATCAGCTGCGTGCGAACCCAGTTGCAAAACTGGGCTTAGGTGGCAATGCCCTACTAAGAGCGTGAATCCCCTACTCAATCGGGCTCGTCGCCATAAAACATGTAAAGCCTTAAACCCTAAACCCTAAAATTTTGGAAGTGCCTGCCTATGCCAAAGCTGAAAAGGACCGTAGTGGCTCCAGGAACACCTGGCATGGCCAGCAAACTCCAAGCAGAAATGTGTGCGTTTGGGGGTCCACGGGAAGATCATAAGACTTTAAGAACCTAAAAGCCCAAAGATTCAACATAATAAGCACCACTAAACCCCTAAACCCTAAACCCAAAATCATTTCGAATACCTTCCAACGCTCTAGGCACCCATGTTTGCATTGGTGGCCAGAAAGTCAGCTAAGAATGTGCCGATCACCGCCCAGGGAACGCATCCAAAGATGCCTTCCAGGGAGACAATGCGTAAGGCTTAGGGTTTAGGGTTTAGGGTTTAGGGTTTAGGGACAGTACTCCAGTATTTTCGTTTATGAGCTTGAGGTTTAGGGTTTAGGGTTTTCCAAGATGACTCCCATAGCTGCATCTGCAAGAATTTGAACCTACGAATTTCTCAAAAGAGTGGGGGCCCTAGACACCCCAAGGCCACATGGGGCTATAAGGGATCATGGGAGCCCTATTGGAGAACATGTAGGGATAATTTGCAGAAACTCAACTGTAGCAGCCAGACTGAAGGCAAAGATTCTTCCCTACATCCTCCCTATGACTGGAAGGTTTAGGCTTGAGGGCTTAGGGTTTAGGGTTGAGGGCAGTACGGGGGACTGTTCCTGGGAGTAGTACTGCCCGGCTTGTGTCGAAAGAGTCCAGTGCAGTGACCGAAGTCTCAATGAGCCCTGGCGCAGTGTCAGAGTTGTTCAATGTCCCAACAGACACATGCCGAACCTACCGTAGTTTAAACCTTGGATCATACATGCTAGAGGCCCCAATGTATTCTTCTCATGCCCAAATATCCTTGTAGGATCTCCCTTACCCTGACCTGTTGAGAAACTCCTGAAGCGCCTTGATGCAGGGTGTGCACACTACGGTGGTTACAGGAACTTGAGATAAACATGGTACAGCCTGGCGTTCGTGTGGGTTACGTTCCGTATGTATGCAGACATTGTCATAGAACAAAACACATTAGCACCGCCTCAGGGTCTTACGCATTTTTTGCCCTTGCGCCTTGAAGGCATGTCAGAATGACCTGGCTGGGCCAGAAGCTTCTGCAAAACATCCCCCACACCCCTCCGCATGGTCTCCCTCAGGGTCCAAGTACCCAACTTTTGGGCTTGAAGTGCCCTAAAGCAATGTTATTTGATTACTTGGACCCTTATAAGGGTCTATGTTATCTGAATCTATGTAGGATGTCCCGGCAGCTCAGAATGGACTTTGGCAAAATGAGCATGTCAACCCACCCCACCCACCCAAAAGCTCTGATATAAGGATTACCACTACTAGTGAGGGGGGGCCCAACCCAAGTCTTATGGTCTAGAGTTTAGGCTTCAGAGTTGAGGCTCTACTAGGTTCCCCAATAACCCCTTAATAACAAGGGTACCTTTTTTCCTACTATTCAGCTTTAATAACAAGACCCCAAATAAAGTCTAGGGTATTCCAAAGTTTTGAAGAAGGGCAGTGTAGGACTGTTGTCTATATATAAACTACCAAAACTACCACTTGGAATGAGGTCGGGCGGAGTCGTCAAACAAATTGGTCGCTTTTGGGTCGGAGCCTGACCGAAGAAAAGTGGACTCCCTTACGCGGAAGTATTCCCCTCCCTCTGAACCCTATACCCTAAACCCCCCCCCACCCCATGATCATCAATCACTGGCTTCATAGGGGGGGGGTTCTCAAAATGCAGCTGCCCAGGGGTTCCGAAGGCAAATCGAAATTATGGCCGGAATTATGGGGGTCAGTGCTAACGATTTTGATAGGACAGTTCTGAGAAATCCATAATACGGCATACACCAGCCGTGAACCAGATGGAGGGGAAGCTACCCACTTGAAACTGCCATCACAACGCCCTGAAAGCCTCAAATCTCGAACCCTCAGCCCGACATAAATCCTCAGCCCTAAGCCTTATACTTATACATCCTAGACCTTCAAACCTCAAAACCCCAAAACCTGAACCCCCGCTCCAGAATCCTGCCAAATCCTAAACTCAACACAAAAGCTGACCCTAAGCCCAAACCCCGAAGTTCTAGACCCTGAACCCCTAAACCCCGAACCCCTGAACGCTAAACCCCTATGGTCCCCATTAAGTAGATAGAATATGGGGTATATGGGGATCTTATTATAATATACCCAAAGCCATACTCTATCTACTTAAGGGGGACTATAACCCCTAGACCCCTAAACTCTAAGCCATGACAAGGAGACTGTAGGCTTGACCAGGGCAGAACATAGGGATGTGCAGTAGCTGGTAGACGGCTCATCCAGCTCAGCCTCCTCCGCCTACGTTTGAGGTTTAGGGCTTAGGGTTTAAGGTGTAGGATTTCATTTCTAGGGTTCAGGGTCTAGGGTTCTGCTTCTTTTCATGGATTTCTCTACAACTATCCTTAACTAACGTTAATTCAGGGGAACCCTGGTGGGGATACTAGGGGGGAAGTGGGGTAGGAGAAGCTTCGGGTTTTTCTATGGTTAGAGGTATGGGCCTCAGGCAAGATTAAGATATTCTGGGGGCCCATGCTTTGGACCAGTTTGGGGCCTTTGGTCTGCAAAGACTCCGTAGGGTACTATGGGGTTTGGGGTCATAGGAACCCGGCGGGATTTCAGGGTTTATGGTCTTTCCTGCAACCCTAAACCCTATACAGATTATACAGAAATACCAAATACAGAGACTTTGAGGAGAATCCTTAGAGGTCCAGCTTGAAAGGGTTGGGTCAAACCGTCTACGGTATCCCAAGTTATTCCTAAACCCTAAACTCTAAACCCTGAATTCTGAACCCTAAACTCCAAACCCCGAACCCTAAACTCTAAATCCTGAACCCTGACCCTAAACAATGGAAGTCGGCTACTTTGCGAGGTCATAGGCCTAGGAGGTTCGGATTCTGCTCTAAACGCAACAAGGAAGCTTGGGTTTAGGCTTTAGGGTTCAGGGCTCCCTACCTTCTCCCAATGTAAAAGGGTTGGCTGTAGCCTCGGGTTGAGGTTATACGATGCAGAAATTCGGAAAACAACTTGCACGAAAATCTGAAGATATGCACCCCCAACCCCCCTAACAATCAAAATTGCCGCCGATTACAGAATAGCACTATTCCGGAAACATGTGAGCTGTAGTCTAAACTCCTAGCATACCCCTTAATCACCCCTTAAAGACTCCCCCTATATGCTCCCTTATATAACCCCCCCTTCAAGAAGCTTAGAGCCTAAACCCTAAACCCTATACAACCCTATATATCCCTATATAACCTACATATAACCCCCTCTTAAGGAGTTTAGACAATAGCTCATGTATTACTAAAGGGGTACGCCAAACCCTAAACCCTAAACCCTAAACCCCTAAACCCTAAACCCTAAACCCTAAACCGTGTACTAAAGGGGTACGCCAGAAACCCTCAGGCGCCTTGTTCGGCTCCTTTTGGAGGGCGAACAGGAGGAGAGTAACGCCCAGCCTGGGTTGCCATGATGAATGATACTCTACCTGGGTTTAGGGGTTAGGGTTTAGGGTTGAGGGTTTAGGGTTTAGGGTTGCGGGTTTAGGGTTTAAGGTTTATAAGGTTTAGGGTTCAAGGTTGAGGTTTTAGGATTTAGGGCTCGATGATGAATGATACTCTACCTGGGGTTATATTCCATTATTCCCTACTAACCATAAACCCTACACCCCATAACTAAACTGGCCTCAGAACCCAACTAAAAATCATATTTTTTGGTTGTTGTTGGGATTATGGTAACCAAAAAACAAAAAACAATTTTGAATGCCCTTATAGCCAATACATTCCGTTATTCCCTACTAAGAACCGGTAAGCTAAGCTGTCCCAGAAACCCTGCAGACCCAACCAACCCAAAGGGAGCACGCCAGCCGGCAGCAGTGCCGACAAAGCCTGCCAATGCCTGTGACAAAGGTGTTGAGGGAGGGTTTAGGGTTTAGGATTCAGGGTTTAGGGTTTAGGGGTTTAGGGGTTTAGGGTTTAGGTGTTTAGGTGTTTAGGGTTTCCAAAGATTAGGGGTGTCCATACTTTGGGCGGCTTTTAGGGTTTGGGGTTTGGGACTTGGGGGTGGGGCATCGGAGTTCTGAGGTCTAAGGATTTCTGGAGTTTGCAGTCCTGGGATCTATTATGGATTACGGTTTCTGACTCAAATCTTATTCCTTCGGCTAAAGGATGAGGGATTAGGGTTTAGGATTTGGGGGTTCTTGCTGGATGGATTTCTCAGGGATTGTATAGGTCTGGGAAGGTTCTTGTTGCAAAGGTTCTCTTGCCATTCATCGATTTTGATGGTTCTGCTTCCACAGATGCCATTATAGTTTAGGTTGGGCCCCCGCCCACTGATAGTGACCATAATGGATAATGGTAATTATATTAGGGTCCCTATACATTCCTAATATACCGCGCTTAGTGGGTGGGGGCCTAACCCAAATTATAGTGTTTAAAGGGTTTGGGTTATAGGGGCTTAGAGCTTTGAGTTCGAACTTGTGCTGAGAAGGACAGATCCGTCCAGCTAAAAGAAGAAAGGCCCCGGCCCCCTGCGAGTAAATATGCCGAATGAGAGATCGAGCGCGATCGGGTATATATATATATACACACATAGCTATACATAACTATACATACATACGTAATGATTCATTTCTCGTTGGATTTGTTGTGAGTATTCAGGGTTTGAGTTCAGGAGCCTTCAAAAAACAATGTTGGATCCTGCTTAGTTTGGAGGCCCCTTGACCCCTTCCCCCGGATCCTATGGCTCCTATAAAAACTATTTGGGGAAGGGATCTCACTAGCAGTCCTCTGCCTTGAGCTAGACTCAAGAATGGAAGTTATGAGAGGAAGAAGTGAGTGGTCCGTGGTTCGGACTCAGGTTAGTTTGATTGAGCAGAGGAAGAGCTGTGTCCTCCGTGAGACCTTAGTACACGGCCATCTGGAACCCACTGCTCAGCACGAACTCCGTTCTACTTGTTCAGGCCCCGCATACACGCTGTCCATTGAAATTGTTTAGGTCTCTACCGTATTAAGTCTCCCAAGCTGTAAACCTCATGTCGCTGGGCCTGTCCAACCGCCGGTCCCATGCCCGAGATCACGGCGAGCATGGCAATAGCGTGCGGTCGCTCGTCCGGGGGATACATGTCCTTGAAGCTTGAGATTGAGGGTTAGTACGGCTTTGGGGTGTCAGGGCTAAAGGGTTTGGGGGGTGAGGGTCTTGGGGGGTAGCCATTCGGGATTCGGATTTGGCGACTATGCCTAGGTTTTGTATGGGGAACCTCAGGGAACGGAGCAATAAATTTTGAGAACCTAACCCTAAACCGTCAAGTGTCCCCAATAATGGCGAAGCTAGCCGGCAGAAGCCCGCCCACAGCCGCCCCAACGGCGGCCCGACAGAAGAGAAGGCTACCTGAGCTCTTCTTTCCTACTAGGCTTTGGGGCGAGGGCTCGCTCTCTCTCTCTCTCTCTCTATATGTGGTTGTTTCCGGCTAAACCGTAGTCCAAAAAGAATGTTTGGATTTGGGTATGTTTCGGGGGTATGTTTTGGGTATGTTTCGTAGTGTTGGGGCCAGGACGTTGTGGGGGTATGAACCGGAGGGGTCAAACATGCGCCTTTTCATTCAATTCCTGGCCCCCAGTTAATGGAAAGACCCATATATATATATATATGTGTATAACTATATCTATGTGTATGCATATATATATATATATACTAGGGATATTGCCCTAACAATGGAGAATCAAATGGAAAGAACATGGAAGTGGAAAATTGGATGGAAGCTGGGAGTATACTTTGCAGGTCCCAATAATCATGATGCTGGTATGTAGGGATCTATATTCGGGACCCGCACTTATGGAAACTACCATACTTTATAGTGCAAGTGTTTCAAGATTTCGGTCTAGGTCTTGTCAGTATTGCTGCTTCCGGATTTGAACCCAGTCCAGACTAGGCCCTAAACCCTGGATTGCACTACGTATGTGCAGGAATCATTTCCCGTTCTCTTTCCAGTCCCATTTCCCCAGGAGACTGGTACCACATAAGCTATAGTCTAAACTCCTAGTATCCCCCTTAATATCCCCTATAGTAGTCCCCTATATAATCCCCTGTCTAAACTCCTCGTATCCCCCTTAATAGCCCCTATAGTAGTCCCCTATATAATCCCCTATATAAGCTCCCTTTAAGGAGTTTAGACTATGGTACCACATAAGCCAGAGCGACCAAAGTTGGCAGCGCGAGAGTTGGCCAGCGTGCCGCAGGCTCCCACGAGCATGCAGATGGAGACCAAGGTAGTCCTGCACGCAAGGCGAGAATTTTATGTATAACCCCCTCATATGAGCTACGGACTAAATTTGGGTGGGGGGGACCTTTAGGGGACTATACAGGGTTTTGGGGGGGACCCATTAAGGGATATACTACAAATTTAGTCCAGGGATCATATCAGTCTTAACTTACTATGAAGCACATGCCAACAAAAAACAAACAGCATAGGTCGCTGATGAGGTATGTTTCATATATTTTAGGGATCGAAAATCCGTTGTCTCCTCCCACCCTACACACAACGAGCCATAGATTTTTCCAATAGTCTGAGAAACTCCAGTGTATTCCAGAGAACATTTGCTCTGAGGCTGCTGTCCGCTTCATGAGATCAGCGAGCCGCCCGGCCACCAGGGAGAAAAGAGCCCCAGAGGTGAAGAAGACGATGCTCACAATGCCCCCGAGCCTCACGGAACGCGGTCGTTAGGTTAGGTTTGGATGGTGGTGCTGGCACCGGTGGTTGCAGGGCGCAGCAGCAGCAAGCAGCAGCAGCAGCCACCGGCAGAGCAGTAGCAGTGACACTCAACAGAAACTGCAGTGGCAGCAAGAGCAGAACGAGGTGGACCAGTGCTACTGGCAGTGATCGTTCGGCCTGGGAATTTCTCACCACAATTCCCGGAAAATAGCTAAGGATTCAAAAGCCTACAGGTCATATTACTCCCCCAAGTCCGGTACTACACGTATTACTACCCTCCCAAATACCTAATTATTGGGCCCTTAGACCTTTAAGGAGTCCTATTTATACCTGAAACCTTGAAGGCCTGGACCTGCAGCCTCCAACCCTAAACGCCTCAAAGGCACTACCATAATGGGCTATATAGTTATATAGGTCATATTGGGTTTATATTGGGATAGTGGAAAAGAAAATGGAAACTACCGTTTGTGGGGTTTATTAGGGTATTAAGAAACTGCTAACCCAAGCCTTCTGCAGTTCCTACCACTTGTTTTAATTAGAAACAACGTTCAGCACATTGCAGAGCAAGGAGCATCTCGTCCCGTTCCGGGCCCTTGAAGCCAAATTCCTGCACGAAGTCAACCCACTCCAAATGATTGCAGGTGATTTTGGTGGCCCGGACAGCTTTCCCTCGACCCAATAAACTTTTACTAGACCCTAAACCCCAATCCCTGAACCCTAAACCCTATACGGAACTCTACATTACCGCCTCACTGGGTGGGGCAGAAGGCTTGGAGCACACCTCCATATGGGTAGTTCCCATGTTTTGGTTAACGGAAGTATGAGGTGCCGTATATTAATCTATATAGTGCCCCTTAAGTAGATAGAATATGGGGTATATGAGGATCTTGTTATAATATACCCAAAGAGATATTCTATCTACTTAAGGGGGACTATAACTCTATAACCAAACCAGGCCCAGAATTTTGAGAGCGACTCATATGGACCGTTTTTCCTGCCTGGGGCCTATAAGCCTTAAGTCTAGAAGCCCCAACTGCTAAGCAGGAAACACACCCTGAACCATAAACCCAGCATAGTCCTCACCCAAAACACTAAACCAACCACACCCTGAACCCTAAACCCTAAATAATCCTCACTAAGCCCTCCCTAAACCAACCACACCCTGAACCCTCAACCCTAAATAATCCTCACTAACCCCTAAACCAACCACACCCTGAACCCTAAACCCTAAAAAAATCCTCACCCTAAACTAAGCCCTACTTCAACCCCACCCTGAACCCCCAGGGCCAAGGCACATGAGCAACTGTGGACATGTTTGTCGACAGCAGGGGCTGGTCAGCCAGCAGAAGCATCCTAGGCTCCACCATTCAAGGAAGTTAGGGTTTAGGGTTTAGGGTTTAGGGGATGTCCTAGGGCTTGGTATAAGGTTATTGCAGGGATATATAGGGATAATGGAAAAGAAAATGGAAACTACTGTTTAGGGTTTAGGGTTTAGGATTCATAAGCCCCCTCCTTTTAAGGGCCTTAATATTCGGATCCCTATTAGAATCCCTATGAAGGGGAGGGGGGGGGTTATTAATCACGAGTCTACATTAGGGTCTTCTTTGTGGGGTGTAATCTCTCAGAATGAGATTTCAAGGTTTTGGCTTTAGGGTCTGGGGCTTGGGCCTTCGGGTGTTGTTTTTAGAGTATACTTTTCTGGGTTTAGACTTCAGGGTTTTGGTTTTAGGGTCTAGAGCTTAGGACGGAGGGGCCTAGTTGGGATTAGGTTCTAGGGTTTGGATTGTAGGTTCTAGGCATTTGGGCCGCTTCGGGTTGATTTCTTAAGGCTTACCTCTCAGGGTTTGGACTTTAAAGTTTGGTTTTAGGGTCTGGGGCTTCGGGTCTGGGGATTAGGATCAAATCTTTTGGGCTCCCATTTTCGAGTTTTGGCTTTACGGGTGGGGTCTAGGGCTTTCGGCTTCGGGTGTAGTCTTTGGGATTTCTTCCAGGGTTTAGTTTGAAGGTCTAGGGTTTAGGCTTTGTCGTGCTTGTCCAACCATCCCCGAGCGCAGCTTCTACTCTATGAACCCCAAACCCCACAGCAACATGCCTGTGCTTTCAAGCGGAAGTGCACGCGCTGTAAAATCGATGCCAAAAATTGCTAACGTATCTAAACTTCCTTAAGCAGCAATCGAGTTGAAGTCCTTCACTGTAGGCCCCTTAAATCACAATCCTAGATCCTGAACCCCACACCCAACCCTTCATTCTAAGCCCTGAGACCTCAAGCCTAAACCCCAAACCCCAGAACCATATAGCCCTTAAGTAGATAGAATATGGGGTCCCTAAAGCCATATTCTATCTACTTAAGGGGGACTATAATGCTAGAAGCGGCCTTCACTTCTTCGGCATCACTTACATTCCCCGAAACCCTGCATAGCGTGATCCGGCTGAGTTCTAACGATTCTATATGACTGTCACACCCTGCAATTAAGGCAATTTGAGACTGCCCCTATATAGCCCACTGTCTGGGAGCCTGAAAATCAGCCAATGTGGGGCCATTTGCCATATGAGACACAATCTAGGGTGAGGTCGGGTCATGTCGTGGGTTGACTTTGAAATGGAAAATCAACTGGAAAACAAATGTAAAATGAAATGAAAGCTGGGTTCATGCGGGGGTAACATTGGAAAAATGTAAGGATAACAGAAGTGAGGTCTTATCGTGCAAAAGGCCCTTAAAGTCATGAATAGTCATGTGTCCGTTGTTGGCTGTGTCGAGAACTTTGATGCTCGTGTCTTGGATGTGTATACAGTAGAGATCTTTTTCTTGAGATGTCCTTTTTACAGGACGTGCAGGATACCATAAAGGCTTCTCAAGGGTGAACGACCATCCTAGCAATGGAAGGCTCTGATGTCTTCCCTCAGAGACCTCACCCAAAGCCTTGTGCACCAGGAAACAGCAAGAATTAAGCCGCCAAGCCCACATGCCTACTGTGGATGCGCCACCTTGTATGCCCCATACCCCAATAAGCACCGCATGTAGATTTCCTCCATTGGGTCGGCTCTGCCTGCAACCCACAGAGGCAGGTCGGTGGCACTGCTGCCACCCATTAAACCCCCTCCCCGCCCAAACCCATTAAGTACAATTCGGGCAACGTGAGGGTATTTGGATGGGTTCCTTGGACACAAAAGCTCTCAATAAGATAGTCGTTGCTAAGAGTCTTGTCCATGTTCTTTCCCACTTCCTTCTCATCCTACAAAAAACGTAAAACCTATTACCTACATTCCCTCCCCCACTCCCCTAGAGAACCAGTGAATAACAGATGAGCTGTAGTTTAAACTCCTAGAATCCCCTTGGATAACCCCCCTAAACCCTAAACACGATATGTAATCCTCTATATAACACCCCTTTAAGGAGTTTAGACCCTAAACCCTAAAACCTAAACCCTAGACCCTGAACCCTAGTTTAGACTAAAGCTCATGTGGTAGTTTCCCTAAATTATTTACTTCGAGCAT